TTATATAGAACTTCTTTTTGTTTTTTTTTTTTTTTTGTTTGCATGTTTTTACACCGCTTAACATTACACCGCATATAATTAATATAATAATCTTTCTCACGCGCTCTATGTATAAGTATGTACAAGTAACGGAGAGAGACGGCAATTCGGGAGAAGGTTCAATAATCGGTAGAAGATCGGTGGACGAGGCAGCGACCGCAAACTGTACAGAGGAAGGGGGGATTCGAATCGAGTGTAATAAAATAAAGTTTCTCGAGAGACATTCGACCCTTTATGCCCGGAACGGAGCATCCCTGTGACGCACTTTCAATGGAATTTTTGTGGCACATTGCGAACATTGCACAGTGGAGAGGAGAACAAGAATTCTACAATAATCTTGGTTAATATCCTTGAGTGGATTTCCCAACTCTTTGACCAGGTGTGACGAGTTAATAATTCAGTCATTGGAAAATTGGCAAATCTTCGGAGTTCTTCTTCGGCTTCTCTCGAGCGCACAATTTTTCAATGACAAGTCAGTGAAAGGCCTGGTCAAAGAGTTAAATAGCCGAGTTGATTGAAAATAAATAAATACTTGGAAGTAAATTTTCCTCCGCTGAAAGAGAGCGAGAGGATCGCGCAAATTTCCAAATAACCGTACGGAAAAAAATTCCGTTCAATGTGGTTAAATAAAAGTCGGCGTTTCAAATAGGTCCTTTTAGGAATTAAAGCATCGTGTTTTAGATATTGGTACTTACGAGAGTACCGACAGGCTTAGCTCCAGCGGCTCGCGAACGTACCACGAAAAATTCTCGTGCACACTGGAAGAAGCGATTCGAGTATATCCCCTAAAGTCAGGATATAAAGAGTCAAAGTGTCGTCGTGGTCGAGCTGCGTGCAAAGAAGAATCGTCGTGAGAATTCGTTTGGTGTGTAGTAGTAGCATCGTGTTCGAGGCGATCGCTGCCCGATCTCTACTAGAATAGAAAAGAGAGAAAACAATACAGACATAATACAGGTTCAAAAAACAGGGAGGTGGAACAGTGGGGTGACGAGAACTAGGGGCGACGCGCGTCGACCTAGAGACTATGTACAGGCGCGGGGGACGAGGGTGAGGGAGTCTGCGCGGTCCCCGGCGTGCCAGGATTCTGTTGCATGGGATAGGAGTTGCTCTGACGCGAGTGCTGTTGTTGCTGTTGTTGGTGTTGGTGTTGGTGTTGGTGTTGTTGTTGGTGTTGTTGGTGATGGTGATGATGGTGGTGATGGTGGTGATGATGGTGGTTCTGGTGTTGATGATGGTTGGGTGGAGGAGGAGGAACAGAGGCGGATGTGGCGTGATGATGAGCGATAGTTTGGTGCGCAGCGGCGTGATTCTGCGGCACCAGGTTCAGGTTGAGGGGGTAGGATAAGGGGGAGCCCAGGGCCGTTGCGGCAGCGGTACTGCAGGCACCGGCTCCGGGCCCCACCGGGCTCAGTGCATGCTCATCCCCGCGTGCGGGTGGTGGGCCGCCGCCGCCGCTGCTGCCGCCGCCGCCGCCGCCGCCACCGGCACGGAGGTTGCGTGATGATGATGCGGATGGTGCATTAGAGGCGGGAGATGCGGGTGGTGGGGATGGTGTGGGGTCAGAGGTGGCGGGGTCATCTGTATTGGGGTCATGGGCGTTGTCGGCTGATGACCGAGACTGGTGGTGGTGGTGGTCTGGGATGTGGTGTTGTTGGTGGTGTCCTGGCCCGCCGCCACCGCCGCAGCTGCTGCCGCCGCCGCCGCCGCCGCCACCAGAGCTTGCTGCTGCTGCTGCTGTTGCTGCTGCTGCTGCTGATGCTGGGCCTGAGCCGGTTGGGCCGGTTGCGTTGGCTGCTGCTGCTGCTGCTGCGGCTGCTGCGGCGGCGGCGGCGGCTGCGGCTGCGGCGGCACCGAGCTGGAAGTGGGACTCTGCTGACTCCCGTTGTCCTCGCTGTCGGAGCAGGACTCTGCTGACGAGCTCCCCGCTCCCCCCTTGCCCTTGCTGCCGTTGCTGCTGCTGCTGCTGCTGTGGGTCTTGACGTGCTTCGCGAGATGGTCGCTGCGCATGAACCGCTTGTTGCAGACCGGGCAGGCGAATCTCTTTTCGCCGGTGTGGGTTCGAAGGTGCCGCTGCAACTCATCCGAACGTGTGAACCGCTTGCCACAGAAAAGCCAGTTGCAAACAAACGGTCGCTCACCAGTGTGCCACCGTAAGTGGGCCTTCAGATGCGACGTTTTCCCGTAGACCTTACCGCAGCCGGGTATGTGACAGCTGTGGATGTTCTTCTTCCTGAGATGTACGCCGGCCGGACCGAGTCGCTCGGCTTCTTGACAATTCGGACAGTCGCAGGTGGCGCGTCCGGTGTACCGTCTTTGCGACCGCGGCGACGGGGCTTGGTTAACGCCGGCCGCGCCCACGCCCACGCCGCCGCCGCTACCCTGAGGGCTACCGGCACCGGCGCTCGCGCTCGCCGTCGCGGCCGCGTGATGATGCAGCCCGAAACCCGGTGGCCCTCCCGGCAACATCGATTTGTACGTGTCTTGGAGGAGATTGTGGCCGGCGGTGGTCGCCGTGGTCAACAAATGATTGCCCGCCAGCGCCAGGCTGGTCGAGTAGTCGGCCGAGTAGTTGGCCATTTGCGCGGCATGCACACCGACCCCGACCGTGCTCCCGACGTCCAGCCATCCGCCGGCCGTCGCCGCTCCGTGAACGTCCCACCAACCGTCGCTCGCTTTGATACCGCCGTGCGTCGCGCCCGGCATCGCGTTGAACGGCCACGACTCGTACGGATGTCGGCCGTACACCGAGCCCAAGGTCGTTCCCTCGACCTTACCGAGCAGGCTGCTCTGATGATGATGCGGATCGCCGGCCGGTTGCGCGCTCGCCGTCCCCGGAAAGTACAGGTCGCCGCCGTATTGGGGCGCGGTCGACGCGCACGAGGTCACCGGCGCTCTCGCGTATCCACCGGTCGTTGTGCTACCGGCGCTGCTCGTCGCCGCTGGTCTTTGACTGACTCCGGTCGTCGTGCATCCTCCGCCTCCCCCACCCCCGCCCCCTCCTCCACCGCCGCCGCCTCCACCACCGCTTCCAGCCGAGTGCTGCGGCGAACTGCCGCTGCTCTGTGGACTCTTCTTCCACGGGTGGAAGCCTTTGCCGACCGCCGCGTCCGCCAACGGTGGTGGACTCTTGCTGCTCAGTTTGTTGCACTGAGCCGCGAGCATCGCCAACGGCGTGCCTCGCAAACCCGGATGATCCTGCAACAGGCAAATGGAAAGCGACCGGTTACGATTTTTACGTGTTCCTTTTTTTTCTTTCACGCCCTTTGACTTTTGCTCTTTAGTTGTTCGCGCGATGTAATTTTTATTTATTTATTTATTTTTTTCTTCTTTTTCTGGTCTGAGGGATAACTTTGTATAAAGTAAAAAATCTCGTCTTAATTCTACAATATTTTGTTCTACATCGTAGATTTTCTATCTTTACATCTTCGTTTTACATTTTTATCTCGACTGAACTTGGACGAAACGAGATTCTCAAACGCACCACTCGCGTCCAAGCGGATTCCGAACGAAGTCAATTTGACTCTTCTTTCGGTAGATGGTTTGGATCGAAAGACGGGGCTCGATCCTCGTACACCAGCCAGGGCCAGCCCCACGATTTTATTACGGCGAAACGCGTTCCCGAGCAGGTGTTACCTCGGAATTGCCGGTCCACTCTTCCGATACGATTACGCAAGCCGATAATAACGAGGTTTCGGCGGGGTTTGCGAATTAGGCGCCTCTCCTCCCCGCGTATATCGATCCCATCGAGCGAAATCGCCCGGTCGATTGAGACGCTTTCTCAAGGTAACGCAGCTCGTAATATCGATATATATCCCAGCGGGACTCTACGGCGCGGGCCGTAATCGCGGCTAAATCGACCAAAAGAAAAAAGAAATCGTGCACGCTGGCCACCGGCCACCGCGCCGCGCTGGAACCACCGAGGCTTCTTCCCCCGAGGGTATATAATGACACTAAATTGTCGGTCCTATCCTAGGAGAGAGGCACGAGATTACCCGAAATCTATCAGGTCGAGCCCGACCTGAACTCTGTCCAATTCGATTTTTCGGTTACTCGAGACGAGGATCCAAGGGTACTATTCTGTATCGCGCAGCAAAGTAATCGCTTTTGTTCTTCCAACGGTGGGATATTTCTCAATCTATCTTGGAAGATTAAAGACAAATTTTTTGCATCTCGTTCGTTATCAATTTGTATAACTAGGAGCTCTTCCGATAGGTTTTCGTCCTTTCATTTTATTGTACGCTCAACGAACCTAATCCTTCTTTGATCCTAATCTGTAATCCTTCTTTTATATACTCGTAGTTATTAACCATAACTAAATCCTCCTTTAATCCTAATATTATAATCCTATTCTAGATTCTTCGTCTCCGTACGCATTCAAGCTGATTCTAACCAACGCTTAAAAACTTCCCTTACATTCTACAAGAATCTTGCATGTAGTTGCTCCGTGGATCGTCGAAAGGGTTTCCATCCAGTATAAATAAATGAATTAAATTATCGAGGCGTCGTCCTCGTGAAGAGCGAAGGAAGAGAAAGGGGAAGGAGAGCCGGTGGTGCGGCTACCGAAAGGCTGGAGGCTGGCAAGGATCCGAAGCCGGATTCGGACGTGGAAAGGTAAAGGCAAAAGGGTCCGCGGAAGCGGCAGGAAATTAAAGTCTGGCGGGCCGCGCGGCCATTAGCAGCCGGCGCCATCGAGGCGACACGCCCCCACGCGGGTTCAACCTTGCACCAACGCCGGCCAAAGACAACGGGTGCGCGCACCCTTCGAGAATGGAGACAAAGAGAAACAAGGAGAGAGAGAGAGAGAGAGAGAGAGAGCTACCAATCCGTGGTCACCCCGTGCTGTAACTTCGGGTAAGGTTGCCAGGGTAATAACCACGCTCGCGGTCAACGCCGAGCTCTCCTTTCCTGTTCCGCTCTTGGAGAAAATCTCGTCGGTCGTTCTGTGACTCCTCCGGTCGTCGACTTTTTCAACCCCTCCTCGGTTAAGCGAAAATATTCGAGCTTCGAGCCGAGGTTTACAAAAGTTTTGGAGCTTTCGATGAATTGAGATTTGTTCTAGTAGACTCTCGGGTCTTGAGTTTCTTATCTGTCAAGACCGAAGATTTAACATGTTTTTTGAGGAACAAGAAAACTGTCAGAACTCGAGATGATCAAGCTGGTCGACAGATTGATAAGCTTGGGACTTGATCAACTCGTCAATACTTTCAAAAGTTTTAATTCATTTTAACTTGTCTTCTTTCGTTGTTACTGAATAATACTGACTTTTTCCTCGACATTCAGCTACAGCGCTCGATATTCTATTGTAAATTGTACTCGTAGCTGCGTACCCTTTAAATTAATTGCAAAAGTCGCTGTATCAATATAGAACAACTTTAGCTTGCCGATATGAAATTAAATTAAAAAATCAGAAAATCAGATTCGGAGCCATCCCCATCGTTGTACCGTATCGTTCCAACTTCATTAGTCGTCGTTTGAAAATTCCCCTGATCCTGCTACGTCCCAGAGAAGGGAAGAGGACAATCCTGAAAAAGGAAGAGTGGAGGAACGCGATGGCCCTCGGTCCCGTGGCGTCAACGAATAGCAAGGTGGCGAGCAACTTTGGCGCTTGCTCGCCGCGGTTTCCCCGCAAAGGGGTGGAAGACGATATCTATCGTCCTCTCTGGTCTGTGTGACTATGGGGTGAGAACGCTGGTTGAAAAGGGAGAAGAGAGAGAGAGAGAGAGAGAGAGAGATAGGATGAGTCGAAGGAAGGGAAGTAGGGAAAACGAGGGATAGAGAGAGAGAGAATCTCTCTCGGGTCGGTGGTGTACGAGCCACGCCCTCTTCGAGCTTCGTGAGTGCAGGTTGTAGGCAGGCTACGTATTGATCCGACGGAACGATATGACAGTGGCTTGGTGGAGACAACGACGTCTCTCAATTAGCCTGCTCTGCCTTCCTTTCTACACTCTATATCATCCTATTCACGCTCGCGCGCCGCGCCGATCGCCGATCGCCGAGAAAAAGTTCGTTCCACTTTGTCGGAGTACTCTACTGTAGGCGTACGGCCGAGTCCAAGTGTAGGTCATGAATTCCCCCGACGCAGCGGACACGTCGATTCACCCTTTTGTCATCCGAGAGACACGAAAATTGGAAAGTGCACGGCCAATTTTCCAAGAATTTGTCTCCAATGTGCGACAAATCAATGAATATCGAATTCGAGATTGCTGAGTTTTGGAAAGATTGAAAGCCACGGTAGTCGCCTTTCAGAGGCATAATAATGTAGCAACGTAGGCAAACTCACCGATTAGATTAATTAATAAAAGTGAAACGATGCGAACGAAGTCGAAATATCTGGTACAAAGCTGAGAAAAAAAACTTCCAAATCAAAATTGTATAATTCATGAATCTTAATAGTTGCCTTTCCTTTTTCTACATTCCTGATACACAAAATCATCTCCCTGGGATTGTACCGTACTACAAAAACTTGACGCTATTTCCATTTTCACTGATAGAGATTAGAATCCAATGAAATTAAATCCAGTGAAAATTTTCAATGTGAAACAACATAGAATCTAAATTTTACGAGTTTTGTGCTATCATTTGAACGATACCAGTTAGAGGTTGATCTGTTGCAGAAAGAGAGAGATAAAATGGCCAAATTCTTTACACAGGCATTTTACAAGAACAGCGTATCAAATTGATATAATAAACGACATACAACTAGAGCAAAAATTACATTTTCCAATTGACGTCAAAAGTGTCAGATCGTGCTTCAGGTACACTTTCGATACAAAAGTTCTTTGCTCTCGATCGAGCGAGTATGAGAGCGATGTCAAGCTCTTTCATCCGGTGGGAAAGGTGGGATATCTATCCTAGCGGATGATCGTCCGAGATAGCGGGTTAACGAGAAACGCGTGAAGCGCGTTAATAGGATTATCGATTAGCGCGATATTAGCCGGCAGTTTCGTTACAGCGGCCTGTAATTACCGGCGTGCAGAGAACGAGAAGGAGTCGTTATTCCGTGCCTAGCGAGGCGGAGGCGCCTTCGAGTCGCCCGAGTCTCTCTGCTTCTACATGTATATAATACAACGTCGTCTTTCGATCGCCGCGATTCTTCGTTCAACCGTTTATGGTTTATGCATGCTACGCACGCAGACGACGTCACCGGGGTGTACGCCTTTTTCCGTTTTGTTCCACGAAAGTGAATTCGACCGGTGCTCCGATATAATTCGATACGATAGAAATCTATTTCCTTTACGCCTGTTTGAAATTTAACGCGCTTGAAATCGAAGGCTCTGAATTAATCACATTAGTCGCGACAAATTCCTCGTCGATTGTCATAAAAAGATCGAATTGGATGTTTGCTACAGGTACTTGGTATTTAATACTCGCGATTTGAGCAAATGCAAATTGAATGTCGATTAAACATTGATTATCGTACGTATTTCTTTGAAAGAGAGAGATTAATGTGGTGTAAGGGTCGAAACTGAAAGAAACTTAAGGCTCTTTTGCTTTATTGGTAAGTGACGAATGATGAGAAATTTTAACTCCTCGAACGAGACTTTAGGCAATTAGGTATGTATTGTATTTAATGAATCATATTATTATTATTAATATTGTACTATTTGTATTATTTTCAACAACGTATTTTCAAACGTTGAAAGTTTCATCAGGAATTCGATCACACTATACATGTTTCACATGCCTAGTGATCGAATAAAAAAGTTTGATACTATCTGATAACTGTACAAGTTTCAATATTTACGATCCTCGTAAGGGTCGTAAAATTTACGACGTCCGAAGAAAAAGGGAAAAAAAGGAAAAGACATTGCTGGTGCACGTAAGAACGAGGTCCAAAAGTCGCGAATACACCAAACGAGGATCCGTCTCTCTGAAGTAGGTTTTGCTTGTCGGCGGCACAGTTGAAAGAGAGTGATCCGTAAGTTGGGCACGGCTAGAGGATCCTTTGTTTTAGCCGCGTGACGTCACGCCCATCCTAGCCAGCTAGGATTAATAACGCCTTCGGCCGTGACGCGCATAAATTAAAACCAGGCACAGCGTCGTCGTCTCCCCTTCTTGCTTTGCCGGTCTTCCGAGAATGAACCCGCGTAACGCACCAACCAGCCAGAGAGAGAGAGAGGCCTTTCGAAGATGCAGGTCGCGAATCCAGGATAAAGCTCTCCAACAACGAGCAGAACGGGTCGAACGTTTCCGATGAAACGGGAAAGTAGGGTGCGACAGGGAGACGATGAATCTCTGTTTGTTCGTAGTCGAGCAATCTCGGAGTCTCTCGGTGTTTTCACGCGCGAATCTTGCGAGTGAATTCGAGTGAATGCACAAGGGATGCGTGTCGAGAATTGGGTCGACACGCGTGACGAAAGAAATTCATGAAACTCTCCGTCGCGATCCCTCAGATCAAGATGACTTTTGGAATTGATGTTCAGCAAATGTCTATTTAGAGAGTCAGTTTTTTTTTAAGCTGAACGTTGTTAATTGCCTGAGAGTTTGGGTGGACAGCTCGATGGAGATTCTTTGTTATTAAGAAGCGGGTGTAATTTCTTCCTTATTATTAAGAAGCAGTTTCTTCGAAACTTATCAGATAACTTGTTGTTGCCATGAATATTTCAAATTGCTCCGTAATAGTCAGATATCATTATCTATGATAATTACAGCATTTTGCTACCAAGACTTCCTTTTGCACGAGAATTCCGAAATATTCAAGCGAAGTCGCTTGATATTCTGAGAATCTGTAATAAATGGTTTTCTGTTCATTTACGATGTATTGTTATTAGCGAATCAGTCATACTATTATTAACGCTACCACTATTAGAAACATACAGATAGCTAGGAAATTATAATTTTCCACTTGGATGACTGGAACGTCGCGAAATTTTTCACTTTCGAGACCACGAGTTCTCATGTAAAATTCATTATTTTACAAACAGATAAGTTTGCAAGTGATACATATATATATATATATATATATATATATATATATATATATATATATA